TATGGTCTCTTTGGGGTATATTCCCAGTAGTGGAATTGCTGGGTCAAATGGTATCTCTATATGCAACTTTTTGAGAAAGCGCCATACCGCTTTCCACAGGGGTTGCACCATTTTACACTCCCACCAATAGTGAATAAGGGTTCCAGTTTCTCCACAACCTCGCCAGCATTTATTGCTTGAATTCATTACCAGTTTTATACAACCATGTTGTGCAGTGACACGTGTGATTCCCTTACAAGTTTTTCTGTTACATTAGCAGAAACGACTGCCAATCCGGCATTAACTTCTCCCCTCTTCTTCGTAGTGTATGGAGATTTTTTTGGACTGCTTGGAAAGAGCAAGTCTTTGGTGGAAAAACAATTTGTACTCCGGTTCCCAGCGTCCAGTCCAGCAGAGTTCACACATGGAGTTTGTCCTGTTTCTGTCCACCTCACTTTGACAGTCTTGGGCTGAATCCCATGTTATTTCAGAACAGTTGGGGTTGAACACACTATCTCTCCCACAGGAATTGAACACACTATCTCTCCCACAGTCTTGATGCACATTTCAGCCCGGAATTATTACTGCTCCAAAGAGAAGGACAGTCAGTCTGGTTCCTCCCTGGTCAGGCCTGCTTTTTTCTCTGATTCTGGGATGAGTTCATGTTTCCATCTGTCAGTTTGTTGATAGAAGGTTTACACTCATCCAAGTGTGTGAAATAGTTGAGCTCTTGCAGGCTCCAGCCAGTTCTACCGTAATTACCAATGTCCTCTTACAGAAGCATTTCCCTGAGCCCGGAAACTCAAAAGCTCCCAGACTCATTGCCATAGAGTTGAAGGAGAGTCACTGTGTAAATCTCACAAGAGGACATTGTCTATATTTTGTTTCAGAGTTGCAGACCAAAATACATCGTCACTGCACCTTCCCAAGACTAAACTGTTGGAGTAGCAGCCGTCCTCCTTAAAGGCAAAGCCCCGTGAATGAAGCTAAAAGCCCACCCTCTTCTCTGCGTACTGAAAATTATTTCCTCTGCACTGTGTCTCTTTCAGGTCTCAAGCGTGACACAAGGAGTAGCAGTCCCGTCCTAGGCCACTGAGGACCCAGAAGGGACCTTTGTACATTTCTGTCCACTCCAGGGAACCATTTCTGCCAACCGTGAAGGGCGTGTGGACCCAACCTTATCCACCTGCCTCCTCCAGTTTACCTGGTGTTCTCCTGCCACTTACAACAGTCTTGGGATTAGCACAGACATTTTCTTAGCACTGCAGAAAGTGGAACGAGGAAATGGTGAGTCTTAGAGAAAAAACAATCTTCCAAGCTTCAATTGAGGGTGTTGGGTAGAAACTCTTGGGGACCCTTTATGTTCTGTCGGGCTGCAGGTTTTTGGTGAGCAGAAACAATAAAAGAGGTGGCTCTTGAAATAGCCCTAGGAGGCCCCCTCACTCCCTACGTTCTCAATACTGGGCCCTGCCTCTCTCCACACGTTGTAATGGTGGTGATTCCTAGGTCCTTGTGTGCCCTTGAACCCGGCCGGCCGCACAAGCTGTCGTCCTAAACCTGGCTCTTGTCTCTCCGGGTTTCATGGCTCAATCTCCTATTCTCAACCTGCGGATTGTTCAGCAGAATTTTC